CTCCCGGCTGCTCCCGCCCCCTTCCTGCCCCGCCCCTCCCCGGCTGCTCCCGCCCCCTTCCTGCCCCGCCCCTCCTCGGCTGCTCCCGCCTCCTTCCCGCCCGGGCGACCCCCGGCTCGAGGGCGGGCCCGAGGCACGGCGGGGAAGCCCGGGGCCTCTCGGAGGACCTGTCGGGCCATGCCCTGGTCCCCCCGGGCCGCTCTCCTGCGGGACCTGGTGCTGGGCGTGCTGGGCATTGCCGCCTTCCTGCTGGATCTGGGCGCCGACCTGTGGGCCGCGGGTCAGTACGCGCGGCACGGCCGCTACCTGTGGGCGGCGCTGGTGCTGGCGCTGCTCGGCCTGGCCTCCGGCGCCCTGCAGCTCTTCAGCTGGCTCTGGCTGCGCGCCGACCCCGCCGGCCTGCACGGCCCGCAGCCCCCCGGCCGCTGCCTGGCGCTGCTGCACCTCCTCCAGCTCGGCTACCTGTACAGGTGAGGGGGGGGGCGCCGCCCCGCGCCTGGGCCCCGGGACCGGGGAGGCGCCGGACTGACACCTACCTGGCAGGCGTGGCATGGAGCTGGCTGCCGAGAAAACCTAGCCCAAGGGCATCGCACCTCCCAGGGCGTGTCCCGACCTTTGCCCCTAGAGAATCCCAGGGGAAGAGACTGAGGCGCAGAGAAGGAAGAGTTTAGGGACTTTGATGTGAGACTTCTCTGAGATCCAACCCTAGCTTTGTCATTTTTGATCGTTCTACAATTGTCCCAGCCTTGTTTCCCCCCTGTATAAAACATCTGTAGAGCCAGGCACTTGTAGCTCACCCCTGTAATCCTGGCTTCTCAGAGGACTGAGATCTGAGAATCACCTTTCCCAGCCAACCTGAGCAGGAAAGTCCATGAGACCTTGATTTCCAATTAGCCAGCAAAAAGCTGCAAGCAGAGTTGTGGCTCATGTGGTAGAGTGCCAGTCCTGAGCAAAAAAAGCTAAGGGATATGTCCAGGCCCTAGTTCAAGCCCCAGTACTGGGACACACACATCAAAAAGCCATGTAGAGGGCTGGGAGTGTGGCTTAGTGACAGAATGTTTGCCTAGCATGCACGAAGCCCTGGGTTTGATTCTTCAGTACCACATAAGCACGAAAAAAAAAAAAAAAAGCCAGAAGTAGCACTGTGGATGAAGTGGTAGAGTGCTAGCCTTGAGCAAAAGCAGCTCAGGGACAGTGCCCAGGCCCTGAGTTCAAGCCTCAGGACTGGCAGGAAAAAAAAAAAAGTCATGTAGAGCAGGGAGAAGGACAGAGTGAGAAAGTGTCCACACACAGTTGGTGCAGGACTGTCCCCACTGGGTAGGGCCTTGGGTAAGTCATTGACCCCTCCAGCTCTCAGTTTCCTCAGGGCTCCAGTGGGGTTAGTAATAGTCTGGGCTTCTATTGAGTAGCTAAAGAAAATGACTTTAAATTGTCAGTCACAGAGTAAACATTCAACAAATATTTGCCCATTTCATGATTACCTGGGCTTTCAAGCCATGACCCCAGGACAGGGCTCTTCCTTTTTTTTTTTTATATTTTATTTGTGAACATACTGTACAGAGGGGTTACAATTACATGGGCAGGATAATGCGTACATTTCTTACCAAGCATTGCAGCCTCCTCCTTTGGTTTACCCTTCACATCCCTTCCCAGCCACCCCCCTCCCCCCCAAGGGCTCTTCCTTTTGTAGTTATGTTCTTCTCACTGTATCCATGATTCCCATCCCCAGACAGCAAGAGGGTGGAGAGAGACCGGGTGGCAGTGCTCCTTTCAGAACTAGCAGGGTCCCGTAGGGAGGAGATTGCTGAAAGCAAGGGCCATAGTTCTGAGGACTGGTATGGGATGGCCGGAGCCAGAATCTGCTATGGAGCTTTTCCTCTTTTCTTTTTTCCTTTTGTTCTATTATTATTGTTATTGTTATTATTACCATTGTTTTGTATGCCAATCATGGGGCTTTACCTCAGGGCCTGGGCTGTCCCTGAACTTTTGTGCTCAAGGCCCATTTGGGCCACCGCTCCGCTTCCAGCTTTTTGGTGGTTAATTGGAGGTAAGAGTCTCATGGACTTTCCTGCCTGGGCTGACTTCAATCTTCTGTCCTCAGATCTTAGCCTCTTCAGTAGCTAGGATTACAGCTAGGATTATAGGTGTAAGCCACTGGTGCCCAGAATGGAACCTCCCTTTGTGTGTGTGTATGTATGTGCGCGTGCCTGCGTGCATGCATGCCAATACTGGGGCTTGAACTCAGGGGCCCTGTGTTCTTGCTTGGTTTTGCTCAAGGCTCTTGCTGTACCACTTGAGTTACACTTCCACTTCTGGCTTTTTGCTGGATAATTGGAGGGAAGAGTATCTTGGATTTGACTGCCCAGGCTGGCTTTGAACCTGAGTCCACAGATCTCATCCACTTGAGCCCAGCTGGAACTCTTCTTTTCAAACTTTCCAAATCTGGCCTTGACAAGGTTCTGTGGAGTCTCTAGCAGTGGGAAGAGGAGTTTTCATGTTGCCATTTGCTTGAGAGACTGTGCAGATATCACTAAAACCCAGATGAGGGTGAGAGGCACAGTTGTGAGAGTTTGGAAAAGCCTCTGTGGGCCTTGCATCTTCCCTTATGTTTCTGCTGGGCCTTGGGTTGGAAAAACAAGGTCTCTGTTCTTGCATTCGACTGGTCCCTGTTGGGGGACCCTGTTGGGAAGAAGAAGCTTCATCAAAGGAAAGTCCCAATGGGACTCTAAATTATTAGGCCATCCCTAATAGGGAAGTGACAGTCAGTGATGAATGACTGAGTGAGCAGGCTTTCCTCCTAAGAGCCAAGTGATGTCATTTCTTGGGGGTGGGGGACATGGTGCCTCCGCCACTACTCGGACCCCCTCCACAAGCCTGCCCTGCTCAACCTCCAGGCTCCCCTCTTTCTGTACAGTCTCCATCTTCATCTTTCTGGGGCAGGTTCTCATTCTCCCAGGTCTGTTCCCTCACCCTCTTTGCTTTGGAAGTACTAGGATTTGAACTCAGGGCTTCATGTTTGCTATGGAGACACTCTATCCCTGAGCCATGCCTCTCTTTGGCTCTTTTAGATCTAGATGTTTTTTTTTTTGTTACTGTTTTTTCTTTTTTTTGGTCGGTCATGGGGCTTGAACTCTGGGCCTGAGCGCTGTCCCTCAGCTCTTCAGCTCAAGGTGAGCGCTCTACCACTTGAGCTACAGCGCCACTTCCGGTTTTCTGGTGGTTTATTGGAGATAAGAG